TAGGTGCCGTTTTTCGTTTTTTGGCGATTGGTTCACTCTGACTGGACCAATCGGACCAAAATGGTTCAGAACCATACACCCCCTTAAAAGCAGACGAGCCCATGCTCCGAAACTACTGGACCGATTTCGATGAAACCTTCACCATTAGACGCGCCGTGGTCTGAAACGGTGCCGTTTTTGATAATTTTTTGATTGGTCCACCCAAACTGGTCCAAATCGGTCCAAAACCCCTAAAATCTGTTGCAGACGAGCCCATGCTCCGAAACTACTGGACCGATTTCGATGAAACCTTCACCATTAGACGCGCCGTGTTCTGAAACGGTGCCGTTTTTGATTATTTTTTGATTGGTCCACCCAAACTGGTCTAAATCGGTCCAAAACCGCTAAAATCTGTTGCAGACGAGCCCATGCTCCGAAATTACTGGACCGATTTCGATGAAACCTTCACCATTAGACGCGCCGTGGTCTGAAACGGTGCCGTTTTTGATAATTTTTTGATTGGTCCACCCTAAGTGGTCCAAATCGGTCCAAAACCCCTAAAATCTGTTGCAGACGAGCCCATGCTCCGAAACTACTGGACCGATTTCGATGAAACCTTCACCATTAGACGCGCCATGATCTGAAACGGTGCCGTTTTTGATAATTTTTTGATTGGTCCACCCTAAGTGGTCCAAATCGGTCCAAAACCGCTAAAATCTGTTGCAGACGAGCCCATGCTCCGAAACTACTGGACCGATTTCGATGAAACCTTCACCATTAGACGCGCCGTGGTGTGAAACGGTGCTGTTTTTGATAATTTTTTGATTGGTCCACCCTAAGTGGTCCAAATCGGTCCAAAACCCCTAAAATCTGTTGCAGACGAGCCCATGCTCCGAAACTACTGGACCGATTTCGATGAAACCTTCACCATTAGACGCGCCATGGTCTGAAACGGTGCCGTTTATGATAATTTTTTGATTGGTCCACCCTAAGTGGTCCAAATCGGTCCAAAACCGCTAAAATCTGTTGCAGACGAGCCCATGCTCCAAAACTACTGGACCGATTTCGATGAAACCTTCACCATTAGACGCGCCGTGGTCTAAAACGGTGCCGTTTTTGATAATTTTTTGATTGGTCCACCCTAAGTGGTCCAAATCGGTCCAAAACCCCTAAAATCTGTTGCAGACGAGCCCATGCTCCGAAACTACTGGACCGATTTCGATGAGACCTTCACCATTAGACGCGCCGTGGTCTGAAACGGTGCTGTTTATGATAGTTTTTTGGTTGGTCCACCCTAAGTGGTCAAAGTCAGTCCAAAATGCCTAAAACCCCTTTGTACTTTATCAGAGTCCGGATAGATTTCTGCAGCACAGAGGTGCCCCAATCCCATTGTCATGCATTTTGCTTTCCAAACTAGAGCAAAAATGCATGCTAATTGGGTCGAGGGCACCTCCGCGCTGCGGAAACCAGCTCATCGGTTGACTACGTGAAAACGTATTTTTGGGCTGTACTTGAACCGATTTGGACCACTTAGGGTGGACCAATAAAAAAATTATCCAAAAGCGGCACCGTTACAGACCACAGCGCGTCGAATGGTGAAGGTTTCATCCAAATCGGTCCAGTAGTTTCGGAGCATAGGCTCGTCTGCAACAGTTTTTAGGGGTTTTGGACCGATTAGGACCACTAAGGGTGGACCAATCAAAAAATTATCAAAAACGACACCGTTTCAGACCACGGCGCGTCTAATGGTGAAGGTCTCATCGAAATCGGTCCAATAGTTTCGGAGCATGGGCTCGTCTGCAACAGATTTTAGGGGTTTTGGACCGATTTGGACCACTTAGGGTGGACCAATCAAAAAATTATCAAAAACGGCACCGTTCCAGACCACGGCGCGTCTAATGGTGAAGGTTTCATCGAAATCGTCCAGTAGTTTCGGAGCATGGGCTCGTCTGCAACAGATTTTAGGGGTTTTGGACCGATTTGGACCACTTAGGGCGGACCAAACAAAACTTATCAAAAATGGCACCGTTTCAGACCACGGCGCGTCTAATGGTGAAGGTTTCATCGAAATCGGACCAGTAGTTTCGGAGCATGGGCTCGTCTGCAACAGATTTTAGCGGTTTTGGACCGATTTGGACCACTTAGGGTGGACCAATCAAAAAATTATCAAAAACGGCACCGTTTCAGACCACGGCGCGTCTAATGGTGAAGGTTTCATCGAAATCGGTCCAGTAGCTTCGGAGCATGGGCTCGTCTGCAACAGATTTTAGGGGTTTTGGACCGATTTGGACCACTTAGGGTGGACCAATAAAAAAATTATCAAAAACGGCACCGTTACAGACCACAGCGCGTCGAATGGTGAAGGTTTCATCCAAATCGGTCCAGTAGTTTCGGAGCATAGGCTCGTCTGCAACAGTTTTTAGGGGTTTTGGACCGATTAGGACCACTAAGGGTGGACCAATCAAAAAATTATCAAAAACGGCACCGTTTCAGACCACGGCGCGTCTAATGGTGAAGTTTTCATCAAAATCGGTCCAGTAGTTTCGGAGCATGGGCTCGTCTGCAACAGATTTTAGGGGTTTTGGACCGATTTGGACCACTTAGGGTAGACCAATCAAAAAATTATCAAAAACGGCACCGTTCCAGACCACGGCGCGTCTAATGGTGAAGGTTTCATCGAAATCGTCCAGTAGTTTCGGAGCATGGGCTCGTCTGCAACAGATTTTAGCGGTTTTGGACCGATTTGGACCACTTAGGGCGGACCAAACAAAAACTTATCAAAAATGGCACCGTTTCAGACCACGGTGCGTCTAATGGTGAAGGTTTCATCGAAATCGGACCAGTAGTTTCGGAGCATGGGCTCGTCTGCAACAGATTTTAGCGGTTTTGGACCGATTTGGACCACTTAGGGTGGACCAATCAAAAAATTATCAAAAACGGCACCGTTTCAGACCACGGCGCGTCTAATGGTGAAGGTTTCATCGAAATCGGTCCAGTAGTTTCGGAGCATGGGCTCGTCTGCAACAGATTTTAGCGGTTTTGGACCGATTTGGACCACTTAGGGTGGACCAATCAAAAAATTATCAAAAACGGCACCGTTTCAGACCACAGCGCGTCTAATGGTGAAGTTTTCATCAAAATCGGTCCAGTAGTTTCGGAGCATGGGCTCGTCTGCAACAGATTTTAGGGGTTTTGGACCGATTTGGACCACTTAGGGTGGACCAATCAAAAAATTATCAAAAACGGCACCGTTTTAGACCACGGCGCGTCTAATGGTGAAGGTTTCATCGAAATCGGTCCAGTAGTTTCGGAGCATGGGCTCGTCTGCAACAGATTTTAGCGGTTTTGGACCGATTTGGACCACTTAGGGTGGACCAATCAAAAAATTATAAAAAACGGCACAGTTTCAGATCATGGCGCGTCTAATGGTGAAGGTTTCATCGAAATCGGTCCAGTAGTTTCGGAGCATGGGCTCGTCTGCAACAGATTGTAGGGGTTTTGGACCGATTTGGACCACTTAGGGTGGACCAATCAAAAAATAATCAAAAACGGCACCGTTTCAGACCACGGCGCGTCTAATGGTGAAGGTTTCATCGAAATCGGTCCAGTAGTTTCGGAGCATGGGCTCGTCTGCAACAGATTTTAGCGGTTTTGGACCGATTTAGACCACTTTGGGTGGACCAATCAAAAAATTATCAAAAACGGCACCGTTTCAGACCACGGCGCGTCTAATGGTGAAGGTTTCATCGAAATCGGTCCAGTAGTTTCGGAGCATGGGCTCGTCTGCAACAGATTTTAGGGGTTTTGGACCGATTTGGACCAGTTAGGGTGGACCAATCAAAAAATTATCAAAAACGGCACCGTTTCAGACCACGGCGCGTCTAATGGTGAAGGTTTCATCGAAATCGGTCCAGTAGTTTCGGAGCATGGGCTCGTCTGCTTTTAAGGGGGTGTATGGTTCTGGACCATTTTGGTCCGATTGGTCCAGTCAGAGTGAACCAATCGCCAAAAAACGAAAAACGGCACCTATATAAGTTCCCTGCTATTGAATGGTGAAAGAATTATTAAAATCGGTCCAGTAGTTACTGAGCATGGGCTCGTCTGCTAATCTCGTCTGCTTTTTAGACACTCCCCGTCGGTGCGAGGGTTAAAGTTGTGGGGGTACCGCCCCCAAGGCACCAGAGCTGGGGGGGGGGGGACAACTTGCCCTCACTGCCGCCCCGGTTCCCGCGCTATGGGCTGGGGCAGGCCTGTGGAGTCGGTCTTCTGAGTCAGAGACTCAGTCGATTTTGGAAGCAGGTATCAGATTCGGAATCGGAATTCGGAGTCGCCGAAAATCTATCGACTCCGTAGTTCTGCCTATGCGAGGGGGACGAACATCATGCAATGATATGTCTGCCCTGGATATGTCTTTGTTCCCGGTTCGGGTTCCGTGTGTTTGAACAAGTGTTTGAATAGGTTGAATGCAAGGTTGAATGTAAAGGAAACGGTAGGGGAAAACTTCGCTCTGTCATGGAAATTCTTTGTTTGGCACATTCATAGAAGGCATATGCAGCGCGACTGCTACGAAATGAAATTCACACAAGTGTAGGTATATTTATGGTGAACAGGGTGAGAACATCAACATCGTATGCCTTGAGTGTTGGACACATTTTTGATCTTTAGAAACCCGACGTTGTTGCTGATAAATCGAAGAACAGTTTAACAATATAAAATTGCCAATTGGTAAGAATTCACCTTCAACATCTGATCTACTTCGTTTGAATCCTTCCATCTCGTCCATTACACGGCTGCACTCGAGGCCATTGTTACAAGATACGCGTGCCACATGTTACACTAGCCCCGCGTTCGATGTCTCTCGGACGGCGAAGATTCTACGCCGTCCGGCCAATCACGTTCCATAAACGCAGCCGAGCCCCCACTGACCTTGAACGGGATAGGCCGGACGGCGTAGAATCTTCGTCGTCCGAGAGACATCGAACGCGGGGTAGATGTTCGTCGTCGCTCTTTCTCCATCCGATGTATACACATCTGGAACGGCCTCCCAGAAAACGTTGTGACCGCACCTGTCTTAACTAGCTTTAAGAGGGCCTTGGCCGATGCGATTCGTGACGAACTGTACCAGCCTTCGGAGTAGTTGATGATGAGCAACTTCGTGTCAAATATTCTTGATTCGCATGTATTTTTTCGTATGAGCTATTTATGTGGATGCTATAACTCCAGTTGCTATCTAACCCCTCTTTACTCGTGAATTCTTATCTCAACTGGCGCATCCTTTGATCCTGGGTTCCCTTGCCTTGACTATCCTTAGGGCTGTCAGGCTTGGTGAACCCTACCAGGTGAGAATACCAGGTGAGAATACACAATAACGCCAAACGGCAAGGTTCCCGCTCCAGGCCTTGCCAATTCCGCCAGTTCAAGTTCAAGTTGACATTATTGCTGCTTCAGCTTTTTGACTATGTCAGTGTCATTTTCCACTGAAATGAGATTGAAAATTGTAGAAGCATGGCAATGGGTTCAACAAGATGCAGCACCTAGGTGGCAAAATCATACCAGCATGCATCTGATGACTGATAGTACTTAAACTTTTGCTATAAAATCAAAAAACTTCACTTGTGGTGAAACAAAACTGAAATAGAGTTAAATTCTTCCCATTCTGATCCTGTTATATCTCCTGTGCAGTTGTTTCAAATAATATTGTACTATCACCCGCAGCACTCAGTTCAGCACGGTACCAGTACCACCAAGGGCCCGCACAGCTCCATACAAATTTTGTGCCATACCTTGGTAAATCAGTAGTCAGTACTGTACAGCACAGCCACAATAGCAAAGACCCTGGACCAATGGGATCTTGTTGAGATATCCATACTCTGCTGGCTGGCTCACATTAATACAGATATGTATGTATGTATGTATGTATGTATTGACGATCAAGAGCAATCCACAATCCGTGTGGCGATTACACTCCGATTGTGGATAACTCTGATTGGAGATAAGCCATTGCATATAGATATTTGTAATTAAGACCCTGATAATTTGGTCCTGTTTTGTGTGCATGTTTATTGTATGCTGAATATGAAGATTCCCTTTGAACAGATTTTATCAGTATTTTTTTGTTATTTTCACTTGAAAAATATTTTAAACATAGAGTCATTGAATATTGAGTCATATACTTATTTACCTAACAGCTTCCTGAATCCTGTGCATAAGAATTTGTGACATATGAGGATGGGTTTAGCCTGTTTCCTTTTATTAGACATCTTTGAACAAATTGTTATTAAACTGCAGTGCAATAATAACTAATTAATTGATTTTCTGGATGGGTAAATGCCCACAGTGCCATCACTTATCAATTATCATACACATTTTTGTAGGTACTTATGTCATGTGCATATCTTAATTAGATGTTCACTATTCTCAAATTGAGTTGACACTTTATATATATGACGATAATGAATGGATTGTAATAACAATGGTTTCTAAGAAGAATGCAGTTGTTTATTTTCACAAACATGATTGGGTGTGTTGAATGAAACGAAACATCCCTATGTTTCATTGACCTCAATTTGTTTTTTCACCTAAGTTCAAGTGTATGCTTTTGTCCTCTCCTAATAACATAGTGAGTGCCTTATACATGTGCGATATGATTAACAATTTCCATCACGCTACGCAATGTTTGTTTTGTTACATAAAGCCATTGTGCGACTCGTGTCGTTTTTCTCCGGCAGACCTCTGACGAGTATAGGAGGAACTACAGCTTTGATCAGCGCCCACCAGGTGTCAGTAAAGTGGCAGTGATGGCGTCCGGCAGCACCTCGGGCACCAGCCAGTCGGCGGTCGCCTTTCGCCGCTGGGAGATGGACAATAGCATGCAGATCGTCAATGCAGTCGACGAGGTGTACCGGTTCGACCAGAAGCAGCAGCAGGATATTCTCACGGCTAAACCCTGGGAGAAGGAGTGAGTGCACTTGTATCATTGCTAGGGGTGACCTGAGCCTTTTACTGGAGAGTTCGTCATGGGACAGTGATTTCCGACGCCAAAAGCAGAGTTATTAAGAATATTATTATACCATGTGCCTTTGATATTAAGGCAAACTTAAAAGATATTCATTGGCTCTGAGGAGATTTAGATTTTTGGGTACCCTGCGTGAATATAAATGTGTCGCTTCTTCCACTAGAACCCCTTCTAATTAATTTCCCCTATCGACAGTCCGCACTTCTTCAAGGAGATCAAGATTTCAGCGCTGGCCCTGCTGAAAATGGTGATGCACGCTCGCTCGGGAGGCACGCTGGAAGTAATGGGCATGCTCATCGGAAAGGTATGTCGTTGCACCAGGTTATCTCTTGAGCATTCCTTCACAAGTTCGCTAGCCTGGTCATAGCTGAAGCCTGCAGGTACACCAATAATGATGTTAAATTACTCCTCAGTGATTTGCTGCTAGGGTCGTGCGTCATAAATGTCCAGATCACGAAGTTTCGTTTTGCTCTTATGTGTACGTACATTCATTTGCATTTTTGAGTTTTCTTGTATACTCGTATGTTGTGTTTTTATGTGTTTTATTTGGTAAGCTCGTCGTCTTTGCCGACCCCCACTAAATGCTCGTATAGCTGTTACCACGCCACTGAACTGAGTGCCTCTACATATAGATTATATCGCCTCCTCCATCTCGTCTCCACTGACCACTCGGCACTCCCTTCTCTCGTCTCTCCAGACTCGTCTTCACTTCTCAATGTCAACTCCTTCTCAAAGCCTCCCTTCAAATCTGACACCTTCGTGACGGTCTCTCCAGGTGGACGGTAACATCATGATGGTGATGGACTCGTACGCTCTGCCCGTGGAGGGCACAGAGACCCGTGTGAACGCGCAGGCTCAGGCCTACGAGTACATGGCGACCTATATGGAGCGGGCCAAACAGGTATAGTGTAGTCAGCTGTCCGCCGCCGTTGGAGCGGGGATGGTCGATGTAGTGTTAAGCGGTATGTTCAGAATACTTAGCCCGGAATGAACATTGAACATTGAACATTCAGGGATAAGTGTCCTTGCTAAGTTCTAGTGGTGATTGACTTACAAAATCATATATTTTAAAGAAACTGAACTGCACTTCAGAGTGTTCATGCTTCATCAACATTCGAAAGCCTTCCCGTCATTATTCTGCTGTTTGCCACTTTGCTACCCGAGCAGCCAATCCCGCCCATGTCCCCTCTCCTCCTCGGGCTCCCCGCCCGACCTCCTATGACATGACCTCCCCCCTCTCCCCCTCCCCTTCCGCAGGTGGGCCGACTGGAGAACGCCATCGGCTGGTACCACTCCCACCCCGGCTACGGCTGCTGGCTATCCGGAATCGACGTCTCCACGCAGATGCTCAACCAAAACTTCCAGGAGCCGTTTGTGGCTATTGTCATCGACCCTGTGCGGACCATCTCAGCTGGAAAGGTCAACCTGGGCGCATTCCGGACGTACCCTAAGGTGAGCGAAATTTGCGGACTCGGGAAGGGGAGACACAGCTGTCTTCATGTGCTGATAACTCAGTTTAAGAGTCTACAGCTTTCATAGTTAAGAGCAATACCAACTTGGAGGTACAACAGGTCCATACCTGAATATGATGATCAGTATGTTTCTATTGTGATCAATAAATTTTATTGCTGTTATTTTAAATTAACTGTCCCGTTTTTCGAACCCTCGACTGATCCCGCCCCTTCTCGCACCACCGCAGGGCTACAAGCCGGCTGACGAGGAGCCATCCGAGTACCAGACCATTCCTCTGGAGAAGATCGAGGACTTTGGCGTCCACTGCAAACAGTACTACTCCCTGGACGTGTCCTACTTCAAGTCGGACCTGGACCGGCGGCTGCTTGACTCGCTGTGGAACAAGTACTGGGTGAACACACTCAGCTCATCAAATCTGATCACGGTTAGTAGCGCTGACTGTGTGGGGAGGGAGGGGGTGGGGGCTGACCGGTTGGTACCGCTGCGGTGGGAGAGAGGGGGGAGGGGCAGACATTGACCGCTGATCCGTAGACCGGTCTGTGTTAGCTGAATAGTTTGGGGATTAAGTGTAATTATGCGGCGGTTATTTGAGGGTTATCAGCTGCTTGCATGGTTTGACGGTTTGTAAGAATGTTTTTTTTTCGCGATTGACAGTGCACAGCGTTGGAGCTTCCGTTTTGAAAGACGAAAAATTTCCCTGTGGTAGCGTGGTGTCATTAATTCCACTGTCATTCTTGTTTTTCCTATGGCCAAATTTTTGGTTGTGAAAATTATTGATATCCCTGTCCGCCACACTAACTAGGAATTTATTACGAGCGAGCGAGCGCAGCGAGCGAAGCGAAGTCTTTTCAATATAACGGAAAAATCTCAGTATGAGCGGCCCGGCCCGGCCCGGCCTGTAACGCTTTTGAGAGGCTTATATCTCAGCAACCGCTGGACCGAATGGCCTGCGGTCTTTTTTGCTGGGTAGCCCCATCCCTTCTACCCCGTAATTGACTACTTTTGATACATCTCAGTGACCGCCATGGCACGTGCCACGTGAAAAGTCAAGGGTGTTCAAGCAGTTTTGCAAAAGTAATGATTTTGAGATGCCCATATCTCAGCAGCGGCTTGAGCGATTGTCTTGCAGTTATTTTTATAGGGTAGTTGCATCCCTTCTACCAAAGGTCGGATACTCTTCATCTATGTGAGTGACCCCCACTGCACGTGCAAAATACAACAATAAGAGGTGCCAAATTTGTTCCCATTTCAGTAACTCGGTAATTACTGGGGCGATTTCGCTGAAACTTGGCATACAGGTAGGCACCCACCAGGCAATGCATTCCCATGTGTTGCGGTTAGGGTGCTACTGCACGTGCGCACGTGCAGGGGGCGTTTCCAGATCTCGAGAACGGCTGGGCCGATTCCGCTCAAATTTGGTACACGGTTGGGGACCGGTTAGTAGGGTGCCGTGCAAAAGTCATTTTGGACCCCGTTTGCACGTGCGCACGTGCAGAATGCCGCTTCCAGATCTCAGGAACGGCTGGGCCGATTGCGTTCAAATTTGGTACACCGCTAGCGACCGGTTAGAAGGGTGCTTTGCAAAAGCCCGTTGGAAATACCCTCTCGCCCTTCTGCACGTGCAGGGCTCACTATCTCGCTCGCTCGTTCTTCGCCCAAAAGGCGTTTTACTGGTAGATATTACAGCGTTGCATGGTTATGAAATGTACCACATAACAAATGATTACGAGCGAGCGAGCGCAGCGAGCGAAGCGAGTCTTTTCAATATAACGGAAAAATCTCAGTATGAGCGGCCCGGCCCGGCCTGTAACGCTTTTGAGAGGCTTATATCTCAGCAACCGCTAGTCCGATTGACTTGCAGTCTTTTTTGGTGGGTAGCCCCATCCCTTCTACCCCGTAATTGACTACTTTTGATACACCTCAGTGACCGTCGTGGCACATGCCACGTGAAAAGCCATGGGTGTTCAAGCTGTTTTGCAAAAGTAGTGAATTTGAGAGGCCCATATCTCAGCAGCCGCTTGGGCGATTGTCTTGCGGTAATTTGTGTAGGGTAGTTGCATCCCTTCTACCAAAGGTCGGATGCTCTTGATCTATGTGAGTGACCCCCACTGCACATGCAAAATGCAAAAAGAAGAGGTGTCAGATTTGTTCCCATTTCAATAACTCGGTAATTACTGGGGCGATTTCGCTGAAACTTGGCATACAGGTAGGCACCCACCAGGCAATGCATTCCCATGTGTTGCGGTTAAGGTGCTACTGCACGTGCGCACGTGCAGGGGGCGCTTCCAGATCTCGAGAACGGCTGGGCCGATTGCGCTCAAATTTGGTACACGGTTGGGGACCAGTTAGTTGGGTGCCGTGCAAAAGTCAGTTTGGACCCCGTTTGCACGTGCGCACGTGCAGAATGCCGCTTCCGGATCTCAGGAACGGCTGGGCCGATTGCGTTCAAATTTGGCACACCGCTAGCGACCGGTTAGAAGGGTGCTTTGCACAAGCCCGTTGGAAGTACCCTCTCGCCATTCCGCACGTGCAGGGCTCACTATCTCGCTCGCTCGTTCTTCGCCCAAAAGGCGTTTTATTCACGAGAAACCTTACTTCTTCCCTCGAAAGTGGACGATTTTGTTTCGATCTCGCCCCTGTAAGTGCAATACGCCTGACAACGTTACGTATTTGGACTCTGCACATTGTTGTGGTCAAATTGACCACACACCTTTTTAACTAATCGATATCGATCGCAAAACTTTTGCTGCCTTATTTTTAACAGAATGTTTGGGACTGGTGCTGCCCTCACATGGTATTTAGTTATTTACTATTAATGTAGGAGCAAACAACCTTATAGTCGACGCGCCCGTAAACCGCACTTAACCTATTAGTATACAAGACTCACCTGTTAGGAAGCTTTTAGTATCGATTCTCTTTTCACATTCTCTGTAACATGGTCACTTTGGCGACCAGCAGGCGTGCCCAAATTATTGGTACGGTTCTGTGTGTTGGCTTTGAGCTGGCACGTACCCGGTGATCAGTGGTAATGCCTCCTCTAGAAGCAGCTCAATGCCTGGTATCAAGCACCTCAGCCCGTGACAGCTCCCCGCCACCTACCCTTTTATTTGGCTGTCTGGTTCCGCTTCGGAACAAACATGGTAACTGGTCAGTAGGTATGTGTTCACGAAGATAGTCTGCAAGCCGTAATCGACGATCTGGTGCTTTCAGGTGTGTCTTGTTGCATCGAAGAACATTCGCTGTATTATAGGGCAAACTAGGTAGTGTCGCTTTTGTTCCACGTTACTGCAGCCGGTAGCGTGAAGAGGATATCCAGGAGTCTTTGGTAGCCGGTGTAGCATCGTAAGGTATACTTTATTGCCTTCCTCATAAAAGAGGACGATTTTTCATTGATGTATTTTACAAACAGGGTGACACACAGTTATAAGAATCATGTAGGTAATCGTTCCCTGCTCGTACAATGCCACAGTCGTGTGTCTCTTACTTTGGCGTATGCGAGCGAACGCTGTCAGCTGCAGCTATGGTTTTGACAGATGTCTTGATGGACATATCGATCCATTGGTCTAGTTCGCTGGGTTTATGAGCGGTCCTGAACTACGCTGCCGGCAGTTTGTGCTCTGCATATGCTCGATTCAAAGGAATTTCAACGATGCTAAAACTATGTACTGAATATGTAGTTTTACCAAGCAAGTAAAACATTTATGTGCATTTTCATACCCTGGCGAGTTGCAGCTCGGCTACGAAATAGATACACATGGAATGCGAATTATGGGAATATGACCACCAGTATAACGCCTTGAGGGGCGACTAACGGAGCGAGCGAGAGGGTGGGCCTTGCACGTGCGAAATTGCAAGGGGTACCTCCAACTGACTTGTTCACGGCACCCTACTAACCGGTCTCTAGCGATGTGCCAAATTTGAGCACAATCGGCCCAACCGTTCTCGAGATCTGGAAGCGGCACCCTGCACGTGCGCACGTGCAAAATGGGTCCCAACTGACTTGTGCACGGCACCCTACTAACCGGTCCCTAACTGTGTACCAAATTTTAGCGCAATCGGTCGAGCCGTTCTCGAGATCTGGAAACGACCCCTGCACGTGCGCACGTGCAGCAGCACCCCAACTCTGGCACATGGATATGCAGTGCCTAGTGGGTGCCTACCTACATGCCAACTTTCAGCGCAATCGGCCAAGTAGTTACCGAGATATTGCAACAATTACAAAACGGACACCTCTTCGTTTTGCACGTGGCACGTGCATAAGGGGTCACCCACATGCATCGGGAATAGTCCAATACTTGGTAGAAGGAATGAAGCTACCCTACCAAAATTACCGCGTGTAAATCGGCCAAGTGGTTGCTGAGATATAAGCCTCGCAAAAGCGTGACCACGGCCGGCCGGCCGGCCGGCCGGCCGGCCGCTCATACTCAGAAATTTCCGTTAATCTAAGGAAAGACTACGCTCGCTTCGCTCGCTCCGTAATCATTATACGAGCTCGTACGCTATAACGGCTTCATCGACCTTTGCTGACATTCGTATATGTTGGATAACTTTTATAGGTATTTTGTGTTTGTTTCCAACTACCGATATTTAAACCAATGGTTAAAAAGCAAGACAAGTCACGCAAAACTAGTTAGATGTTGTCATTCGTCTCTCTGCCGTGTCCATTTGAGACATAAGCCACAGAGTGTTTGATCTACACATCGCTGCCTTTATGACATGCTGGGGCGGCCGAACTTTGTGGATCAACTTTGTGTGGAGTGCTGAGTACTGTGCTGTCAGAATCCATTACCAACGGTCTTTGAACGCTGTCACCGGGCCGCAAAACGGCGACGAGAATAGACTAGGGCGCGTCATGCAAACGACGAGCTGTCTGCACAGCAGCAGCGGGCTAGTGGGCGACGTTTAGAAGTGATAGTTTTTTAGATGGACCCAATATTTTTAGAGAATCGATATCATGTAACTCAAGATATATGATGTTTGGATAATTCAGCACTGTGGCTTGGGGACCAAACGACGGTGGATGGAGGGAATCTTTGCCGCTGTACATAGTATAGTTGATGATATTGAGCTGGGACAGTGGTATTGTTTGGTCAAATATAACACCAGCTTTGCTTATTTTGCATGGTATCTTTCGGAAGACGTCTTCCTTCGTAATCTGTCCAAAGCACTAAATAATACATATGACGACCAAAATAGAAATGACAATGGAAACCATGCCCGTCTGCAGTGCTGACAGCCAAAATGTTTATCTTTTGAAAATAAGAGGGTGGCGTAAATTACGAAGCGTGACAGGGTAGTATCAAGCTTCATTGTCAGGTAGTATGGCGTCTCATGATTATTTGACGTGATAGGATATGGTCATGTTTTTATGGATCCAACTAGGGTCAAAGGACCAACTTCAAACAGGCTCCATCAACCGGTTCC